TTTTTTCCCCCCCCCCCCCCCCCCGTCCGTTACAGCTCATCATTCCCTTCCCATTGTCATCGTAAAGATACGTCGCGAAATTGAACAAAGAATAAGTATAATATAATATAATATGCGAGATACACTGTACATATTCCACATGTACTAAATACATAATCACATTGCATGTAAGATTTTTTGAGCGAAAAATGAATGTCAGTCTATAGTTTAGACTCTAATGCCCATTTCCACCAATATAGATTAACTTTAATCTCGGTTCAACTTACTCTTCGTCTTTTTCTAATCTTTAGAACTAGAAAAAGACAAAGAGTAAGTTGAACCGAGATTAAAGTTGATCTGCGTTGGTGGAAACGGACCTAAATGATTTTCGTTTGCTAATGCATTTAAATTTCTTATCTTTTTCTTTAAAGTTGCTCCATCTAATTATTATGTAATTATGTTCCACGTGCGTTTTCATAATAAAAAATGCACACACGTTGAAATTTAAATTAAGGTCAACAAGTTTAACAAGTCGGAAGTAATGTTTTTTCGTCGTTATCTGATAAAATTACCTGGTTAATTTTTTCAGTTGTTGCTCAAGGACTTTAATTTCAATTTGTTGCCTCCTCGAAGCGATGAGCAAAAAGATTAAATCAGGAAAAAAGAGAACATCGAAAGAAATCTCGTAAATCTATACTTATGTTAGAGCAAATAAGTTAATTGACATACGTGCTGTATAATTTTGTTTTGCGTGATGTTAAAAAATGATGATTCAATTCGATGATGGTTTTTTTAGCAGGATACATCTCCGCGTGAAGTGTTGCTACCACACGTTAATCGCGCTTGTGTCGCCTTTTGTGTCAATAATGCTCGTAATGTCCCTTTGATTGTTGCGATTTATTTATCATAGCGGCACACGAATTTTGAGAGAGAGAGAGAGAGAGAGAGAGAGAGAGAGAGAGAGAGAGAGAAATGTCCAGATTCTATTCTCCTTTCCCAGACGAGGATGTCTGGCCGGAGTCTGGCTTGGAATTATAATACTTATCCCCGACCTCGACTGGCCAGTCGGCCGAATAGTCATAGAATCTCACGCCGGACGTTTTATCTTTTCTGTTCCTGTTCTTTTTAAAGGATGCTGCAGTGACGGTCGAAATTAATCAAGGTCGATAATACAGACTTTTTTAAATTCCAAATTCGACAATAGTGACATCTTTCATTCATTTCTTATACTTATTATATATCGTTGAGTCTCGCTCAAATGCATTCATCTGTCCTTATCTAACATATTGCAACGCTATCTCTAAGAAAGAGATCAACTAAAATACTGCTCGATTTCATGGCTTCATGTCAATTTTATTCGTAGTATACGAACGAAATTTTTGGCAACTCTTTTCTCTTATACCAAAGCCCCTACCTCGTTTCTAAAAGCATAGGATTGTTTTTCAAAGTTTTCTGTAGGCTGCTGGCTACTTATTTTAAACGGGTAAAATCTGAAACTCTTATATGCAGCACATATTGTGACAAGTTGACTGCAGGAGCCGGTAACAAAACTACAATTTTTAATTTTCTTTTATTTTTCGCATTAAATTGTAGCTGGCAGCTTGTGTTGTTGTCCATACTTTAATTGTGGAGAAGGACTTTTCAATTCATAAACACAATTAAGAGAAAAGAGTCTTTAAAAATTAATGGCAAAACAGGACACTCCAGCATCCCCTTAAGCAAAACCCTACCGCCGATGCTTTCTCTTTTTATCCTCTCTCCTTTTCTCCCAAAACAAGAAGGATACGTAACACCATACGAAATCGTATGCAATTACGCGCTGTTATTCACAATGCTCGAGCGACCTCGACCTGCTTTTTTTCCTTTTCCTTTTTCTTCTTCGTCTTCATTTCTTTATGCCATACGATTATCGTTGGTGGACCGAGATAGCTCACCAACAACATTTCTCTCCTTTCTTCACGCTTTTCATCACGCGCGCGTGTCTCTCTTTACGTGAAAGTTTTATTTCGTCTTATATTGCAGTAATCAATTTGATTATTTTATGGCCGTTTTTATCAATGTATAGTTTTGTCATTGTAATTTAATTTTAGTCTTGGTTTACAAGACTAATTTCATTTTTTTTCTAAACTAAGAATTAGAAAAAGATAAAGAGTAAGTTGAACCGAGATTAAAGTTAATCTGTATTAATAGAAATGGACATTAGCGGAACAAATATTTATGTATTAAAAAATCACGGTTTTTAACCTTTTAACATCTGACAAACATATATCTAATTGTAAGATAGAAATATTATCGCTTTACGTATGATTAGAACGTTATGTAATTATTCAAATCTTTTTCACGCCAAGTATACATTATAGTTACATCATATTTCGTGCGTAATTACTTCATCTATGCACTGTGTCGTAAAATAGAAGGAAAAAAGAAAAATATGTGCGTATATAGAAAGAGTTGTTTAACTTTTTGCGACATAAAATATATCTGTTTCCCGTGAACGCAAAAATTGTTACATTTCCTTTACATGGTATAAAATGGATGATAAATAATATAAATGTAAGTATGTGTGTGTGTGTATTTCAGCGAAGTTACAACACTATCATTAAACTAGCGTCGTTTGTGATAAAAATTTACTTTCACGTTTCGCAAAATGCTGCCTTATTCTAGCAAAATTTTTAAGTACTATGAATGGATGAAAATGATTTAGAATATTTGGATCAGATAGTTCAGGTGTTTTATCTGACCACAATGCTGATCGTGCAGCGGCCGGCACGTGTCTGTTCTCAATATCTTTCGTTGCATTGTACTCTCTAGTTGTAAAATTACCTATGCAAATTTTGTAAGCACCAAAGTCGTTGAGTTAAACTCTCGGAACGGATTTGCGCCGCGGATTCACAAAGCAACAGTTTAGATATAAGATGACTCGTGAATTTCGCATCGCTTCGTCGATCCTCGAAAGTTAAATTCCTTATAGCATAGAACTGTCTTTGAGAATTTAGAATGTCCGAGAATTAGTAATGCAGCATTGATTGCATTACATCATTACATACGATGGAGTTTAGTGATTACTGACAGTTATGCTTGACTATTAATCACAACGTGATTAATCTATGATAATATTTTTATGTTTAAAGATGAAGATTGTCTTCATTTTTAAGCGATACCGAGAGATAATTCGTAGTGATTTATATTTATTTAAATAATAGATGTGGAATGTGCTAAGTACATTCTCGATATAATGCTAACGTTGCATTTTCTATATCTTAGAAGAAAAGAAAAGTGAATGTTACAGAGCAACACTTGTTCTTATGTAATATTTATGCTGCGAGAGGCAAATTTTCAAAGATCATCATCAAGAAGAGACAGAGGATTTGTAAAAGTCAAAATATTGATTTTTTAATTTTAGCAGGTTATTGTAGTGAAACTTCATGATCTTAAGAAATAGAATGCCGTTGATTTATTAAAAAATGTAAAATTGCGGAAATGAAAATCCAATAATGTTAAAACTGGTATTCGATGTGGCGTGAAAATCTGTTTTGTATATATGCACTCTGACAAACAGCACGAGAAAACTGCGCGAGATGATTATCGTAGATCTTTCTTTAGAAAAGTCTATATATAATATGAATTGTAGGAAGTCTGTTTTTAGAAAACTTTATAACAGAGGGTGTATTAAATAATAATACTGTTAGTCGTAGCAAGTTTAACCATTACGAGAGTGATAAATGGCACCAAAAGTTTCATCTTGGGTTACTTATAGAGATTGCCTTGACCTGACCTGAGTTGACTTGTATTCGAAAACACATTTCGAAACAAACATTAATTCCTAGCAAATTTATGTATTTAATTGCCCATTTCTACCAATATAGATTACCTTTAATCTCATTTCAATTTACTCTTTTTTATAATTTTTGAAATTAAAAAGAAATGAGGAGTTAGTTGGACCGCGATTGAAATTAAACTACGTTGACAGAAACGGGCATCAAAGCAATCAAATTAATTACGGCTGAAAACGCTACAATTGTTCAATATTTCAGGAATGTATTCATATCAACCAAACGTTTAAAAAAGTTTATATAAATTTGGGTCTAGAAACTTAGTTTTTGAGGTAAGAAGAATTTTATTATTTAACAATATAAAACAATTAACAATGGAACAAGTATTAAACAAAACACAGTTTAGTGGAAACAAACAAAAACAAAAATACATAAGAGAGAACATTTTGTCACAAAAATTGTTTGTTAGTACTTGTAAATGATCATTTCCCTAAAAAACCGTGTTAGTCCTATGGAACTTCATTCTGATGCATGATAAACTGCTCGATTTGTTGCGCTTGAACTTCGAACCCAATTGATTTTTACATTTGAGAGCATTTAAAGTTCATGAAGTTTTAAGAGAGTGTATCGTAAATGGATGTGTAAGCAAATATTTCTGTAAAATTTTATATTCAGGAATATTTAGCAAACAAAGTATGAAACACAGATTCAGAGAATGCATCGAGACTGGAGAAGAGCATTTTAAATAATTTTTGGAATAAAATATTCTGTCTGTGTGTACTTTATATTTAGTTATTTCTTTTAAATTTTATCTTCATTAATTCTATTACTTGCTTCATTAAGTGTTCGATATTGTTAAGCAATAAAATTCCCTCTAAAGGGAACTAAAAAAGAATATTATTCTTCTAAAAAAGAATATTTATATTCTCTGCAAATTATTATAAAATGTATGAATAAAAATATAATTTGTCGCAAAACAAATTTTTTTAGGTATTTTATTAAAGATATTTTTCTGGGAAATTAAGTTTCTAAAGATTTTTTTTGATATTTGGATATTATGTTTAAAATAATTTTATTATGTTTAATATAATTTTATCTATATTTTAAATATAGATAAAATTATTTAAAATAATTTTATCTATATTTTATATATGGTTAAAATTTCAAAGATCCTAGCAGTGCCGAAATGGAGATATTCACCTTAAAAGTTTCAACTTTTAACACGTAAACTCCTTTACTAAGCATTGCCGAAATAACGTTTTAATACTTTGCAGCAAAAATTTTCTACAGATTTAAAAAAAAATGTAATGTAGGAATATTATAAGACCCATATAAAAAAAAATAGGGAGGCCTAGCGGTACCGTTTCTGAATTAGAGTAGTTTAAATTTGTAATTTGTTGGAATTTTTCTTTTCGCACGCCGAGCAGCGAGACAAGAACATGTTATTGCCACTTTAAATTTCAACTATCTTCAGTGCGGACTAGTGTTCGTGTAAACAGATACGACATTTATGCATGTGTGTATGCTCGCTTCAAAAATTTCTCTTTAGAGAGCACGCGCAGAAAGGCATATTCGTAAGTTGCTCGCGATTAATTTTCTAACGTGATTGTAGCCGGAGAAATACTTTAATACTATTTATTAATTATATATATTAGGTGTTTCAAAATTCACGACCGCGAAGTACAAGACCTGATACTTTATGCAGAAGCAAACAACTTTTTTCTTTCACAAAATTGCGTTCGATAGATAATTTTTTTGTTAACTTCAACCTGCTCTCCTGCAAAAATTACTTGTCGGATACAATTTTGCAAAAAAAGAGTTGTTTGTTTTAGCATAAACTATAACATATAATAATTCTTATATGTAAATAAAATGTAAACAAAATATTCTATATTAAACAATATGTGATTTTATCGAATAAACTTTCAAATTCGATCTTCTCTCTTGTGCAAAAATACTATTTATTTATTTATTTTTACATAAATAATCATTTCTTTTTCAACTAATCCTGTATATACAACTTAAATTATAAAATGTATTATGAACGTAACACAATATTATTTTCTCTCCTTTTTATATTTTGTTATTTTCAATCTTTAGACGAGCATTATTTCGATTGTTATACAGGAAAAACAATTTTACTAAAGTATCTAAAAAATTAGATAAATAGTATAATAATAATTTTATTGGACTGTTAAAATAATTGTGTAGAAAACTCTACCACGATAAGCAATAATGTAAAAAATTTTAACAATCTAACATCTAATTTGAGCGTTCTGTATAATTTGATAGTCCAACAAAATTATTTTTAGATCTGTATCGGTCTAATTTTTTTAGATACTTCAGTAAAATCGTTCTTTACGTTGTACGTACAGTTTTCCTCGTAACAATATTTTTTATGCAACCTATTCGACAAATATTAACGGCATTGACAAATATTATTTACATTTATCTTCAAACACGATCGGTCCAACACTTCGATTGTCATGCATCAACATATGTTATTACATTTAAAAAACGATTTTGTTACAAATATTTGGATCTTTTTACACTCTCCAACTTTTATCTGAAATATTTTTATATAAAAATTATATTTTCCGAGTTATTCGGGGCTATCGACCTTTTTTCCTCACCCGATATAATTATTTTGAATACCTAACAAAATTAGTTCGAGATCTGTATTTAACTACGTCAGCAAAAATGCTTCTTAGCTAGTATAGAGAATCGGATCTTTGGGAGCGAGCGTGGCATAGTGAACAGCGCACTGGTTTGCAATGCTAGAGATTCCGGGTTCGATTCCCGGCGGTACCAAAAAAAATATTTTCATTATACGCTCGTATCTCCTCTCGGGAGGCAATGGCAAACCACCGAGTGTACCTTTGCCCAAAGAACTTCTCTAACTTAAAATTTCGTCATTCGGAATGGACATTTAAATGTAGGTCCCATATGACTGTGTAACGTGTGCGCACCACAGGCATATGATAGAGAAGTTACTAGCTAGGACTTACCTTCTTGTGTGCAGTTGAGTTGATAAGCGTTACCGACAATCGGCAACGCTGTGGGATATGGCACGTTCTTTAAGGCATACAAAAACTTGGCCCTCCGTACCATCAATGCCACCGAGAGCGTAACCATGCAGATCGATAGAAAAATAGTCAAAAATGACCATTCTGCGATCAAAACTGCCAGAACGATCATATTTTTGCACCTGTAATTGTTTAATCGGTCGTATTAATATTTCAACAGAGTGATCGGGAAAACAAAATTTTTTGAATCTTTATACGGAGAGAATTTTTTCTTAGAAAACTTCTTTATCCCCCCTAAAAAAATATGATAGTCGTGGGGCAACATTGTATTTTAAAGAATTTTAATGTACACATATTATTCATTAATAAAATTATAATAAAGTATAAAATAAGTTTGATTAATTTTACTGAATTGCATAATAAAAATCTTTAAAATATTATGTTGCATCACAATTACTATATTTTCAGGATAAACTAAAAAAAAAATTCTCTCCGTGTAGAAAAGGTAAGCACTCTTTTTGAAATCTGCAAAATAATCACGAATCTCGTCAGTGTTCAAGAGTGTTTGATCTTTTCTAAACATACAACTTTAGAAAATATCGAGCGCTCTTACACGAAATTTGTAATCTTTTCCGTAGATCTCAAGAAAAGTTATATTCAAGAAAACTTATTCAATCTTTTTTGAAGATACAAGATTAGAATTGTGTGAAAAATTTTGTTGTGCGACTGTCCTGTTGAAAAAAGAATTCGGCAATAACGAGGGCAGAGTAAGAATTGAGAAGAAAATCAAGTATACATACTGCTAGTACGAGAGACGTCAGAGATTCAATCGCCAAATTCAATCGGATTCGCTTCTGCGATGCTAGATTCAATCGGGATTCTCTTCCGCGATGTTAGATTCAGTCGGGATTCTCTTCCGCGATAAGACTCAGTTGGTTTTTAACTTTTTATCCGCGGGCGAATCGTAAAGCGATCGGACCGTATCGCAGAGATGTTCACCGGGTGTAAGTGAAAAATCAAATTTTAGATACAAGTACGCTTTGTACCGAGAAGCGGAAAACAGTTTGGCAATTATCAAGTCCACCAAAAGTGTCGTGAGAGGGTGAGAAGAGGAAACGCTAATTTTCCAAGAGTGGATTAATACGCACAAAGTTGCACCGTGATGCCTTGCTATGCCATCCGCTTATAATGAATGATCAGTGCGGAAGAGTCGCCCTTATATACTACCGGATTGTACTACCGCGATCAGCGACTAACTTCTTTTCCGCCAATAGAATTGCGAATACGCGTATGTGTACGTACGTACGTACGTGTTAAGCTACGTACTGATTGGAATACATATTCGTAAACATGTGTTACGCTGAACGTCTGTTACGTGCGTATACGTATATATGATACGCAAGCGAACTCGTAGAAATACATTGGAGGCTGAGTACCGGTCGGACGCGAGCACGACTCCACCTCCCTTCTTCTACCACTACATATAGTAACGATCCTATCCTCCTCTCAGACGCGAATATTATGATACGTGGTGGAAAGAGAGGGAAGTGACAAGCAAGTGGAAAAGACTTCTTCGCCATTGTCACTGTTATGCGAATCGGCACTGCGTCAGTATAACTCGTGGAGATCTGGAGACGGTACTCATTATGCGCATGAATCTCCGCTTTCTCGTCGCGGAGAACGTTCCGCGTTTCACATTAGAACTGTTACTTTAAAAAAATTCGAAGCTTCAAAGTTTAAAATGTCTTCGAAGCTTTATTTCATTTTAGATTTTGTCATATAATTTTTGTAAATGTGCGCACCTATTACAATACTATTATTACTATATTTAATTAATAATGATATTTTGATTGTTCGAAGCTTTGAACTTTGAAATATTGAAGTAACGAAGTTTTAAAAATTCGATGCTCCGTATCTTTGAATCTTCGAAGTTTCGATCCTTCGAAACATCGAAGATTTTAATGTCGAAGCTTCGAATCTTCGAAGCTCCGAAGTTCATATGTCGAAGCCTTCGAAGCAAATCATCAGCTCATTTCGCACCAGCGCACTATATATGATTTAAAATTAAGAAATTTTGGCCAAACCCTAATATTTTTAAATGTTCTCACCAAAATTTAAAAAATGAACGTATATATTTTTATAATAAAAAATATTTCTTTTGACATTTTTAATATTTTGAAAGTTAAGATTCTTTTACACCGTATGTGTTTTTAAAAATGAATTATCCAACTAAATTTTGTAATAATAAATTTAAATAAACAATTTAATATATTTATACATATGTGTTCTCTCATAATATACTGGTTTGCTAATGTAATCCTTATTGCTTTACTCTAACTAGATTTCGCGAATAATTTTTTTAAATGACGCTGCCGGAGTCACAATATATTCAAAAAAGCTCCTATCTTTAATCGTTCATAACATGGCTAAAAAGTATAAAGGTATTGAAATAAAAAAAATGCATTTTATAGGCCACAATGCATTCATGACTCCTGATCGAAATTTCAAGATAACATTAACCTTCTTTATTAAAAAATGTCAAATATCGCAAAAAAAGCTATTTTTTAAGTATTAAACCTTAATTATCTTGGAAATCCGACGTGCTAGATATTTTTCGTTTGCGGCATTGTTTCCAGCATCCAAAAATCTATAAAAAACACGTAATCCGGTCCAAAGTAATTTTTTGTTGTAAACTAGTGTAATCTATAATTATTAGACTGCGGAAGTTTATGCAAAATACTTAACTGAGTGTTTTGCATAAAATGCATATTTTGCAATTTTGTAAATTTACAGATGGCAATCTCAATCTTTTTAATTCACCTTTTAATAACTCTTTAACGAACAACGATTGACTGCTAAAACTGTCCGATAGTTAATATTCAGTTAAGTATTTTGCATAAAGTTCCGCAGTCTAATAATTATGCATGAATGTATATATTTTTTAATAAATAGCAAGAATAGCAATAATTAATAAGTTTTTTACTATTCCATATATAAAAGGTGTTACTAACAGATTTTCTACCATTGCAAACCAAGTTAAAATACATGCTGTATATACAATTCCTTACAAATTAAATAGATTCATTGTGATGGGTAAAGATGACGTTAATAAAATGAATAAATGTGACGTGCACGTGTACAGAATTGATTACCGAGAATGTGAGGCTACGTATGTAGGACAAACTAAGCGCCATTTAAGAACGAGGGTTAACGAATATATAAAAGATATAAATAACAAATGTGATTCACCCAATGTGATTTCGGAATATAGATTATACCAGAATCATGAATTTGATTAGGAAAACGCGATAATTTTAGATAACGAGCCCTCGTATGTGAAAAGATCTGTATCAGAAATGATACATATTAAAAAAAAAGACGTTAACATTAAATATACAAAGCGATATCGAATTGTTACTAGACGCCTACCTCCCCATCCTGGAACATTTGTCCCCCACTCGATCATTTTGTGTTACCGACAACTAAACGAATAGATGGTATGTAATTAATGTATTATTGTGTATGTCGACAATGAGGAAGATTACTCAATTTTAAGTTGTTGAATGAATCTTATAACGGAGGTAATTTAGGTAATTTAGATAATAACAAATTTTGATAATAGCATTTATAATTAATTATAATGATATAACGATCGCATTTTGCAATACATAATGGCATATTCAATATAAGATTGTCTCTAGTGTACTTGGTGTAAGAGCCAAAAATTCTCCGTTAAATGGATTTATTTATACAACGAATCTACATCAGATTGATATGCATTGTTTGACAAGGAATAACATAACAACCGGATATCATAAAGAAGATAAGCGGATCGCTAAGAAGTTAAACATAATATAGTGAGGACAGTATCCAACAATTGAATTGTTCTTTGAATATGAAGATATAGGTTATTATATTGTATGTAATTGTATTTAAATTTTAAATTGTTCACTGAAGATGACCATATTGAAGGTCGAAACGTATGACAAAATAGACTATATTCTGTAAAAGAATGTTGTAATATAAGAATTGGCGTAAACGAACTAGCCAGACTCGAATAACTCTGTGAATTTATATTTAACTCAAACTTTATGTTGAAATGTCAAATCTAAAAATTAATGTTCAGAGAAATAAGAATGACATAATTAGTAACTAAAAAAAAACAAGAATATAAATATTAACTTTGATTAGTCTTTTAAAGTAGTTATATTTCACAATTATTTTAATATTTTATATAATATATAATAAATAAATAATAAAATAATTACATTAGTTTACAAGTTTTTTGTGCAAAAATATATAAAGATTGTTTCTTGAATAATTTTTGACACTGAGCCCGAATCTGTCATTGAAATATGATATTTCCATCGGATCCGATTTTTGAAATATAAGAAAAGACATTTTTTCAAATATACATACGTAAAGTTCTATTGAAATTAGAAAACAAATTGGAAGAGCGTTTTATTTTTATTTGTTACGACTTTGTCATCGGTTTCATGTATTAGAGTCCAGTAGAGTTGTCTCTAGAATAGTCGACTAACATGTTTTCGTCCTAATACCTTCGATCTTTTATAACATTTCTGAATTATCATTAAATTTTGGTAGAAATGTTCGCTGATTACTTGTTACACTCAAATTACTTAAAAAGAAATTAGGTGTGAATGCAAGAAATGAATTTTTAATGCATCTATTTCCATGCTAAATTTTTAATTATCACTATCAGTCAAATGACGGTGCTACCAATATGCTGTATTTAAAATAATTCGACTTGAAACTTTTCCAGCGACAGATTCAAACTCACCGTTCTAAAATACGTTTAACAAATTGTTTCATCTTGCACTAAAAATTATTCAAAATTTATAAACCATTAGTTAAAAAAGGCTCCAAAGATTAAATCAATAAAGGAATGTAAAGCCAATGGGAACCGACACAGTTGTACATGTGTAATCAATAATAATATATATGTCAATCATCAATTACAAATTACACGTGTAATTGATGATTGACATATATATTATATTTTTTATTATACACGTGCAACTGTGTCGGCTGTCACACACACATTGGCTTTACATTCCTTCATTGATTTAAACTATTAGTGTCATTAGTAGAGGAAGGTCACCGATACCACTTTGTTTTTAGACAATATTTCTTAAACAAAAGGTAAAAATACAACTTCAAAAACATAAATACGAAGTAAAAAGTGTTTTCTATCAGATAGTATTAGCAATTTTTATAATACTGTTAGCAATTTTGCAATAATTAAGTTTTTTGTATGTTATGAAAAAATGAGCGTCTGACAAAATGGGCTCCAAAACTGACACAGTA